GAGCCGTGTAATAAATAAATAAATAAATATATATATATATAGCTAATTTATTCCTTGATTTTTAACTGCCACTCTACTCTTCCATAAAAACACTAGAGCCATAGCTAAGTAAATTGTTCCGAAACAGAATGTTTTCTGTTTTTTTCTGCTTGTTAAACTAGATTCAACAAATAGTATATTATAGTCAAGAGTCAGCGTGTGTAACCTGGGGTTAGCCTGAGGAAAAAAAGGGAGTCTAAGAATCCTGAAGAAATGAACTCACATCGGGTCACCCTGTTGACCTCTGGAACAAACAGTACCAAACCACCTGACCTCACTCATGTTTACACCCTGTCCTCACTGCCGCCCATTTAGGTTAAAGCTTGACCTCATGACCCTCATCATCAGGAGCAGGTAATATCATGGAGGAAATTACTGGAGCTTAGTGAACGTCACAGGGTGGAGAAGGCACAAAACAGGCACTGTTTATTACCCACGTCCCAGTGCGTCTGACAGAGCGTTATGCAAGATTTAACAGATATGCTTTTATTTCACGCCGAGCGCAATTACTCTAAACAGCAGAGGTTTGTGTCACACAAGCTGTCAAAATCATTGAGGTTTGATGAAAAAGCATGGTGATGTCATTGGACTGACCAGTTGTCCTGTCCAAGAGTTCATTTGTGTGTTCAAGTACACACAAGGACAAAAGTACAAGCATGTCCTTGTGTTCATGGGTGTTTGCCTGAAGCAAGAGGCCGAGAGATGAAGAAAAGTGGGATTGAGCGGTCGGGAAACATATCCAGCACCCTCTCTTAGACGTGACGGTGAGTGAAATCCAATAGTGCCTGTAATAAAGTTAATTTTTCCTGACTACTCAGTCTGTCTCCTCTGTAGACGAACACAAAACACCTTTATGCTGCTGTACTGGAGCTGCTCTAACAGTTCGAAATGGAAATCCCACTCAATCGTCGAGTTATTCAACCCATTTCTGTTATATATATCAGTATCCCCCAGGTCTAAAGTAGCCTTTTTATGTTAATGGCCGCCCTCTGAATCCATTCAAGCATGCCCACAATATCAAACTCACTCTCCTGCCAACCTTCTATCTCAGAGATGTGTTGCCATGGTAACAGTGGGCCGAATTGAGTTATGTATCAAAATAATTTTTCTGACCCACAGGTATTTTCATCGTCATACTTGACTAAACACAGCAGTGGGAGTCTGCCAGTAACATTGTTGCCCGCATTAAAAATGTTAAGCGCAAAGGACAAGCACGATCAGGACTAAAAAAAGAGTAGTGTTACTGAAAAACGTAGCCTGTATCAGATCAAGCATGATTAAAATACAGGACGGTTCTATTGGGTGCTTAATATTTGGAACCCTTAAAAAGGTTTTATATAAAATGGCTTATAAAGGTTCCATCAAAAATATATATATATATATATATGTGTGTGTGTGTGTGTGTTTTTTTTAAAAGAAATTAATATTGTTAACCAAAAGTCACAGTAAAAACATTTGTAATGTTTTTAAAAACAAATGCTGTTCTTTCTATTCATCATAGAATCCTGAAAAATGCAACACAGCTTCTATAAAGTATATTAATCAGCACAACTGTTTTCATCATTGATAATAAGAAATGTTTCTTAAGCAGCAAATCAGCATATTAGAATGATTTCTGAAGGGTAATGTGACACTGAAGACTGGAATAATGACACTGAAAATTCTAAGCTGCATTCATAGGAATAAATTACATTTTTAAATATATTAAAACAGAAGAGTTATTTTGAATTGTAATAATATTTCACAAAATTACATTTTTTTTTTCTGTATTTTTGCAGCCTTGGTGAGAATAAAATACTTCTTTCAAAAACATTTGTTACAAATCTTACCAACCCCAAACTTCTGAAAAGTCAATTATATCATGGTTAATATTTTCCTGGATCAGCATCAAATGTACCCAAGATCAGATAAGAACATAATTAAACATAAAAATTTAAGACATAAGAAACATAAGAATAAAAATATATCAACAAATGAAGTTCAACACAAGTGTATGTTTACTTTCTGGAAGCCGAGTTAACTGATCAAACACCGTAAATGGATTTCTGGACTGGGAACATTTTCAGTCACCTCTCAGAACTTAAATACACACACAGCGTGTAAAACTAATAAAAGATTAAAAACATGCTGTGAATAAATGCACTTGATTAAGAAGACTAATGAACTGTTGATGACAATAATAACAATCATTTGTAAATTTCATTTCAAACTCATTAATAAACCAAAAAGGAAAGCATAATAATAATAATAAAAAGTAGGCATTGTAAATCCACCCTTCAGACATTTATGGGATGAGGCATACCAAAGGTTTGCTGAGCACAAATGTGCAGCTCATAGGTTTACTGAAGTGCTTACATGAACTCTTCTGTACAAACTTGAATGTTATTACAGCTGTAAAATTGTCTAAATCATCTAGACTACAGGGAATTTGCAGGGTAGAGAGGTAAACATTCTGGTATCCTTTCACATATCGTTAAAAACTTAAACGGTTTTAATAGTTAAAAATTGGGTGCAATTTTACATAGACAAAATTACTAAGCATGGTTACTTGCTGCAGAAGTAATAGTTCTTCCAAAACCTAAAATTTGCTGAAAATTTACTCACCCTCAGGCCATCAAAGATATAGATTGTTTCATTATCAAAACAGATTTGGAGAATATTAGCATTACATTAATTGCTCACCAATGAATACATTACTACAGTGAATGGGTGCCGTCAGAATGAAAGTTAAAAAAGCTGATAAAAACATCACAATAATCCACAAGATCTACACAACTCCAGTCCATCAATTAACGCCTTGTGAAGTGAAAAGCTGTTTTTGAAAGAAAAATTCATTAACGTCAAACCTTTGTTTCTAGCTAAAATATGAGTCCTCTATCCATAATATTGCTTTCTCCAGTGGAAATTTTGTCTCACCTGAATCAGGAGAGAAATATGCACATATTAAGCACCGTTGACGAATGAAATCAGTCCAAAACCTTTCTAAACAAATATGTCAGTGGATTTTTTTATGTGAGAGGACAACAGGGGATGGATGTTTCTGCTGGAGGAAGCATTATTATGGATAATGTACTTTGGCCAGAAGCAACAGTTAAAACTCCTTGATGGATTTGTTTCATACAAATATGCAGCTTTTCACTTCTCAAGTTGTTAATTGATGGACTGATGTGGATTATTGTGATGTTTTTATCAGCTGTTTGGACTCTCATTCTGACGGCACCCATTCACTGCAGCGGATCTATTAGAGAGCAAGTGATGTAACGTTGAATTTCTCCAAATCTGTTTCAATGATACATAAAACAAACACCTTCCACCATTTCCAGGAACTCAAACAAAATTATGACTCAGCAAGTGTATGTACAAAATAAATAAATCTTTATTATTATCTTTATGATTATCCCTCATGCATCCCAAGCGGAAAGAGAACATGTCCCCTTTGTCGCATAAATCAATTAGTATTACAGTTCATTACAGCTTAGACAAAAAAAAAAATAAACAACAACTCATTCACACTGAGGAAAATTAAGTCGAACACTTTAAATCCTCATCAGAAGATTTGACAGACTATCCACTGCTGTTTGCAAGAATAAAAATATCTTTTATGGGCATGCTAATGTGTGTGCATATATATATATATATATATATAAAGAGTATTTAGTGCTTTTTCTTCTCACAGGACAGTATGTTTATGAATGTGCTTTGAAGGCTTAAGTGTCTATACATACAGTATGTGATAGACCATCAACAGGAAATGAAGACAGCGGTGTGCATTTGAGCAGAACAGTAGTTGTGATTGGTCAGTTCAAGTTTGAGAGAAAAAAGTGAAATGTATTGCACAGTTAGTTCCTCACAGAGGCTGAATTAGAAAACAAGTCTGATTACAGTAGACATTTATGTCCTAGACAGACACACTCACACAGAAAACTTTAGTCTCCCACAAATCTTTTCAACCGCTGCAAACATCCAACAAGACCTGCATCACATAGTTAAATACATCCCAAAAGATTAATTACATTGCAGTAATATGTACCAGACGGATACCACAATAAGCTGCGTGCCCTTTGCGGATTCGGACAGTGGAAGATCTCAACCACTGCAAATGTGGAATCTGGACTCGAACGCATAAGCAGATTCCCTGCAGCTCTAAAGTCCAGAAGCAGTGGAGTCTGGAAGGGCTTCACAGACCGAACCAGAGAGAGGTGCTGGGCCGTTCTCAGTGCAAAGCTTTAACCAGTGTTCATTTGACTATTTCACAGGATTTACTTCTTCTTCACCTGCCGAAGGAAACAAAACAGTGATATTGATTGATAAGATTGTTCCAAAACCTAGTGAGCTGCCTGCCTACTGCCTTCTATTGAGAGTAAAATTACACAGCCCACACAAATAGTGGATAAAATGCTGAATATTTTTTTAAATGACTTTTTTTTTTTTTAACAAGAAATATTACTTTAGCACCAAATCAGCATATTAGAATGATTTCTGAAGGATCATGTGACAGTGAAGACTGGAGTAATGGTGCTAAAAACTCAGCTTTGCCATCACAGGAATACATTTCATTTTAAAACATTAAAATTGAAAACCGTCTTTTAAAGGGGTCATATGATGTTGCTAAAAAGAACATTATTTTGTGTATTTGGTGTAATGAAATGTGTTTATGCGGTTTAAAGTTAAAAAAACACATTATTTAATATGTCACAATATTATGTTTTTACTGTGTTGTAATCAAATAAATGCAGCTTTGGTAAGCATAAGAGACTTATTTCAATAAGTTAACGTATACATCTTACATTCAACAGATCAACAGTTCTGTATTGAGCATAATGTGATCCATCAAAACCAACCTCCATCCTCTGTTATGATGCTTACACAGGGGGCTTCCTGGCCGGGAGAGGAGATCTATGCGGTGACACAGCAGCCAGAAGCTCGTTCACAATCTCCTGCCTGATTTCATGTGCGATACTTTCTTTAATCTACGGGAGGATGAATAAGAAATTATGTTAGACTGCATTAAAGGCAGGAAATCAAACACTAAATATACAGTAAGACCTAAAATGCAACATAGGGACTCGAATTCAGGCTTTTCTTTTTATATCTCACAATTCAGGCTTTTCTTTACAGAATTGAGTGTTTATATCTCGCAATTCAGCCTTTTCTTTACAGAATTGAGTGTTTATATCTCGCAATTCAGCCTTTTTTTTACAGAATTGAGTGGTTTTATCTCGCAATTCAGCCTTTTCTTTACAGAATTGAGTGTTTATATCTCGCAATTCAGGCTTTTCTTTACAGAATTGAGTGTTTATATCTCGCAATTCAGCCTTTTCTTTACAGAATTGAGTGTTTATATCTCGCAATTCAGGCTTTTCTTTACATAATTGAGTGTTTTTATATCTCGCATTTCAGGCTTTTCTTTACAGAATTGATTGTTATATCTCACAATTCAGGCTTTTCTTCTCAGTATGGCAAGAGAATATCTCACAATTCTGACTTTTTTCTCAGAATTGTGAGATACAAACTCAGAATTGTAGAAAAAGTCAGAACTGTGAGATAAAAACTCTTATGTTCTTTAAAAAAATCTTTGGTGAAAATAAGACCATACAATTCTGATTGGTCATTTGTGGTATTTAACTGTCAGATATTTCTTAATATTAGCTGTTGGCAATGCTGTATTTTAGTCCTCTTATCAGGGTAACTGTATTAGTTCTCTCACCTCCTGTATGAGATGTTGCAGGTCACCATTCCCTCCACTTTTACTCCTCCATTCGTTGGGACTGTAGTCCTCTGTCGTCCTGCTCCTGCGACCATCCAGTGACATCTCGTCCTCATCTCTGCTCAACTCCAAGGTAGCAGGTGTCATGCTCTCCTCCATTCTCTCTGGAGAAACGGGCCGAGCAACCTCCATTCCAGGCTGTGGAGGGACGGTGGGTGTGAGATTAATGGTGGCCCGGTAAACGCTGCCTCTCTGCGGGGAAGAAGAGCAAGACTCGAGCGTCTGGTTGAGTCTTCCAGGGCTGGATGCCCTCGATGAACGGCCTGAACTGGGTGTGACAGCCTCATATCCCAGTTCAGATTGAAGGTACAATTGCTCCTTCAGGAGGTCCGTCACCTGTACATTCACATGCAAGAATTTATAATGGATGAGAGGAAATTGAGAGTAGAATAAGGCATGCAGATGATATCTGATACAGGACCCTGTAACATGAGAATAATCCACTCACCGGCTCCATGGCCCGCAGTGCAGAAGAATTAGACAGGCTTTCCATGCTGTGACCTCTGTGCATGCCCTGCGAGACACACATCTGTTACTAAAGGTTAAAAAACATCAACAGTACCAATCAAAAGTTTGAAGTCTGTAAAATTGTTATTGTTTTTGAAAGAAGTCTCTTATGCTCTCCAAGGCTGCGTTTACTTACAAAAATATAGCAATAATGTGAAATATTATTACAGTTTAAAATAACTGCTTTTTATTCGAATACATTTTAAAATATATAATTTATTCCTGTGACACAAAGCTGAATTTTCAGCATCATTACTCCAGTCTTTAGTGTCACAAGTTTCTCCAGAAATCATTCTAATATGCTTATTCGCTGCTTAAGAAACATTTCTAGTCAAGAAACTAGAAAAATTATTATCAATGTTGAAAACAGATGTGCAGCTTAATGTTTTTGTGAAACCCATGATACATTTGGTTTTCAGGATTCTCTGATTAATAAAAAAAAAATCTTTGTGACTTCAAAGTTGTCTTTACTCTTGATAAATTTGAATACATCCCTGCTCAAAATTAATAACTTAAACAAAAAAAAATCTTACCGACCACAAACATTTAAACTGTACTCTTCATTTGACTAGTTTTCACATTTCAGTCTGCGCTAAGGGTGTGACCAAAATTGTGTATCACACTAACGGTGTAGAACAGTGATAGTTATTTTTGCTGTAAATTTAACTCAACAATGTTTTAGATATTACACAATCACAATGTAATGTCTGTTTATGGTTATTCTAAATATATCAGATTTAGTGAAATTCACACTGGAATTCACATTTAGACTAGTCTGTACTTCCAATCCTGAGAGGTTATAATAAAAATGAGAAATAAATGTTTTGTTCTAATACCTTCTAACAGAAAAATACTTTAGGTTGCATATTAGGTAAAGCAGAATAGGTCTAAGCTGTGCTATTACGTCATAATTACAGTATTAATTCATTATGTGGAAGTTGCAGTTACATGCACTGACCAAGTGGTGACGGTAAAGGTTGCTGTGCTGCGAGCTGCTGCGCATCTGTTCATTCAGGGAGAGCAGACGATCTTCCAACTGCAGCTCCAACTCTTGTAGCTCCAGCCTGACAGCAGACCGCAGTGCTTGAAGTTGTTCTGCCTCCCGCCTGCAACATCACAAACCCCAATAAAAGATGTAAAGATTCAAGTTTCTCACAGTTCGGTCTTGATCACAGTTTGGTGAACAGGCAGTAAATATTTGACAAGTCGCTATTCGAGGAGGCAGCGATCATATGAATTTAAGGTTGATACAGAAAAGCAATATTTTAACACTGTGATCATCCAGTACCAAACTGATGGTTTTTATTTATTTTTCAACATTGAAAAATCATTAGTACGCTGTAAAATTTCCACCTACTTCAACTACTACTTCATTTGGCTCTCATTTAAACTTAAATTATATTAAGTTATTAAGCTGAATTCGATATAACTTAATTTTTTGTTAAAGTAATAAGAAAACTGCATTTTTACAGTGTATTTATGTTTTGTTCACACATTTTAGGGTCATTTGTTTTACGAGTGATTTATTGCTATAGCCGTCTGTCTATTTATTTAGTGCTACAGGAAATTAAAAACATAATATTGTAAAAACAGTGAAATATTATTCCAATTAAAAATAGGTGTTTTTTATTTTAATATGTTTTAAAATATAATGTATTCCTGTGACGGCACAGCTAAATTTTCAGCATCATTACTCCAGTCTTCAGTGTCACGTGATTCTCCTTCAGAAATCATCAATTCTGATATGAGGATAAATCATTAGTATTTATGATTTGTTTACACATTTTAGGGTTCTTTGTTTAATGATTAATTTATGGCTATATCCGCCTTTAGGCATGTAGTACAACAGCAGTATAAGTGTATATGGCAGATTGTATTAATTAATACATTTTAATTCAGCAAGGATGCATTAAATTGATCAAAAGTAACAGTTAAGACATAACATTGATACAAATGATTTCTAATTTCCATTTAAAATCTACAGTATGCTATTTTTTTAAAATCAAAGAATCCTGACAAAAATATATTTCCACAGATATTAAGCAGCACAACAGTTTTCAACAGAGTGAAATACTATAAACACAAATTAAAAAATCCTTTGATGATTTTCTGTTTTTATTTTGAAATTATTTATTTATTTATAAATAATATATAAGAATAAATGTAATTGTATTTATGTAATAACAGCATTATTATTATTATTATTATTAATAATAATAATAATAATAATAATGTGTGTATCATATGTATAAGTGTATATGGCAGATTGTATTAATTAATACATTTTAATTCAGCAAGGATGCATTAAATTGATCAAAAGAAACAGTTAAGACATAACATTGATACAAATTATTTCTAATTTCCATTTAAAATCTACAGTATGCTGTTTTTTTAATCGAAGAATCTTGACAAAAATATATTTCCACAAATATTAAACAGCACAACAGTTTAACAGAGTGAAATACTGTAAACACAAATAAAAAAATCCTTTGATGATTTTCTGTTTTTATTTTGAAATTATTTATTTATTTATAAATAATACATAAGAATAAATGTAATTGTATTTATGTAATAACAGCATTATTATTATTATTATCATCATCATTATTATTATTATTATAAATAATAAAATAAAAACAAAAAGTGCTGATTTTGATTATCACGATTACCAAACAGTGTTGCAGCTAGTATCAATTTTAATAATATTATATTAAAATCAATACTAGTTGCAACACTGCTTGGTAATCATAAACATATCAATTCCACTTCACTAGCAACATTCCTTAAGAAGTTCTTTCTCGTCTTGACTTGTTTGGGACACATCCCACTCTATGTTTCCAATCACTGTTAGTGTAAATAACAAAACAGTTCAGCCCATGCAAATATATCTTCTGTGTTATAGCCAAAACCAGCGAACCTATTTCTACCGTCAAATAGTGTATACTGTCATTCCACTCTGCTTTAATCACAAACAATTACTAATAAGAGCATGGCAGGCACAGCCTCATTAATAACCACATTTACCACAGGTTAAGATTGTTTAGAGAGTCATGAAATCAGGTCATGTAATACATATGTATACAAAGAATTTTGGCAGTTCTTACCTGACCAAGATTCTGCATTGTCCCACGAATGTCATGCAGGACCCTCCTGAGCTGCATCTCTGTGCTGCCCATCACAGGTACGGGGGCAGGAGGCATCTCAAAAGAGCAAGGGAAGGGGGGAGATGGATAGTATGGATGACTGTAGGGGGCGCCAGGGTGATGAGGAGAACCGTTGTAGCCCGGACTGTAGGGGGCGCTGTGGGATTGCGCGAGAGAGACGTGAGGTTGATACGGGCTGCCGTGCATGTTCAACGAGGGGCCGTAGGGAGCTCCCTGAGGAATGTGATAAGGTGAGTAGAATGGGCTGTAAGGAACACTGTGAGGATGAGCATAATGCATATTGTGCTGGGGTGTAAATGGCGCCCCCTGTGGTGGAGTAAATGTATTGCTCTGAAGAGGTTGAGGATATGGTGAGCTCTGTGGTTGTGGGAAGGGATTGTGGTGGGGAAGTCTGGTAGGGTACGATGAGTTGTAGGCCACTCCTTGATGTGGAGAGTAGAAGGACCCATGAGGAGGAGGGTGGCCTGGACCTGTAAATTGATTAAGGTTTGGGACGCTACATGTGCTCCAGTTTGGACCTTCTCCCAAGGGCCTCTGAGGCCAGTCTGCAGGGACGCTATAAAGCGAGCTGGAAGAGCGAGTCAGATGCTGGGGTACGTTGAGAAGGTTTGGTGGTGTACCCCTGCCCGTCTTTAAACCACCTGCTGGAGCAGAATTTAAGAGAGTTGATTGGCCACCAGCATGATCTACTTCATCTTCTTCCATAATGGAATCCACTTCTTCTCGGTCACTGCGATTCTCTTCGTCGTAGCGGTACGAGTATGAGGGTGGGGTACAGTGCTTGACTGAACCCTTTCCGAGTTGGATTCGCATGGAGGTGACCACTCGAGCTGGGCTGAGCTGAGATGTTGGGAGGGAGCTAGATCTCCTTAAAGGATTCCTCTCCAAGCTTTCCCTTAGCAAGTTCCTGTCCCTCACCCATACTCGGCCGGGACGTTCCTCGTCCATAGAGGATGACCTCTGATGGGCTGTTTGGAGGGCCATTTGTCTTCTTTGAGTCGTAGGGTTGCATTGCTTAAGATCCGAAGACTCTGGAAGATCTGAAGACTCTGGTTCAGAGGATGGACGTAAATCCTCAGAGGAGTCTAGATCTATGCCTAAACCAGGCTGGGATATGTTGCCTTCATGAGCTACATCCAAGATGGAATCTGTTGCAGGATCTACCATTGTACTCAAATCTACTTCTGGAGAGTCTGTGGTGGGTTTTTGCGCTGTGGTGAAATTGGATTCAACTATGGAAGCCACATCAGAGTCAGGAGAAAGAAGCGGTCCATTGGTGCTAATATTGTCAGAGTCTGAATTGGGAATCTGGAGGCTGGTGATCTCAGGGACTTCTCTTTTGGCTCCACTCTGGCTAAATGTCCCTTTGTTGGACTGAGGATGGGCTTCCTCACCCTGAAACCTCTCAAAGTTGGGGTACTCCAATGCTGTGGGTGTGCTGACTTCTCCTGCATGTGATGTCACTGTGGTTTCGCTGTCACAACTATCTGAGCTTTCTTGTACCTAAGAAAATTCAAGAGAGATGTTTCACTTCCATGAATGAAGGACTGGTTCTTAGAAACCTTGATGTTGAAAGAACTTGATGTCCTTGTTTATGTTTTGTAAATTCCCCTATGAACACATATGCCACAATTTTAAGTTCTGGTACATCTTAATTCATCATTTCAAGAACATTTTTTAAGATTTAGAGGGAGATACCAAAATTTTGTTTTTTTTGGCTCCACTCTGGCTAAATGTCCCTTTGTTGGACTGAGGATGGGCTTCCTCACCCTGAAACCTCTCAAAGTTGGGGTACTCCAATGCTGTGGGTGTGCTGGCTTCTCCTGCATGTGACGTCACTGTGGTTTCGCTGTCGCAGCTATCTGAGCTTTCTTGTACCTAAGAAAATTCAAGAGAGAAGTTTCACTTCCATTATCCAATGAAGGACTGGTTCTTAGAAACCTTGATGTTGAAAGAACCCAGCAATTTATTTTTGTCCTCGTTTATGTTTTGTAAATTCCCCTATGAACACATATGCCACAATTTTAAGTTCTGGTACATCTTAATTCATCATTTCAAGAACATTTTTTAAGATTTAGAGGGAGATACCAAAATTTTGTTTTTTCTCAGTAAAACACATTTTGTCTTCAATTATTTTCATATTGCATATCTTTCCTATTTTAATTTTTGTTTTGAAAGTATGGTAAAAACTGGTAAAATGTACCAACAATCACATTTAAAAAATATTTTTTAAGATTTAGAGGGAGATACCAAGATTTCAGAGATACCAAATGCTGGGTTAGACCATGACAACGTCCACTACTTACAATATATTCATATTCCTATGAAAAATTAGATATTCCTATGTAACTTAAGTCAATATTCTCATTGTTTGTATTACTAGTAGCCCGAAAACATGTTCATAAATTACTAGACAATATTAATGTAAGGTTGGGAACATCCATTTTTAACAAAATGTAGTTTAAACCAATAAGTGTAATAAACATATGCATTTTATTCTATAATACCTTGTATAATAGACCCTGAATATAAGACGACCGCGTTTTTTCAGATGTATTTCCAAGAAAAAAACATCGTCTTATATTCGGGACAATACGGTACTAGACAATATTAATGTAAGGTTGGGAACATCCATTTTTAACAAAATGTAGTTTAAACCAATAAGTGTAATAAACATATGCATTTTATTCTATAATACCTTGTATAACATAGCTAAGTGCAAATTTGGTTTATCTACATATAATGGAATTTGAGATTTCTGTGGCAAATATACTCAGAAAAACACACTTTATTACATTTCATTTAAATGGAGGCACTGCTAATTTATTTTATTATTATTCATATAATTTGTATTTTACAAAATATAGTTATATAAATAATAATAAATTAATAAATACATAATAAAAAATAATAATAATAATACTTTTTCTACTGTAAAATATTATATATATATATATATATATACTTTTCATACTTTTTGATATCAGTGCAAGCTAAATTCAAACAGAGGTTTTTTTTTTGTTTTTTTTTACTGGGTTCGAGGAGAATGACAATCTTTGTATTCATAGGCTGTATAGAGCCCAGATGGTTATGCCCACACTCACGTACCTTCAGGTGATTAACCAAACCGTCTGTGGATGGGTCCTCTGCAAACCCGCTGCTGTCAGACTGCTGGCTGGCAGTCCTCAATAACCTCTCTATAGGGAGACACAACGTGAGCACCAAAACTGAGTGTGACTGACTGATTTCCCAGCAGTCAAAGACTTCTCAAAATTCAAGCCAGTTATTATAATTCATGCTTATGAGTTTTAAGGCTTAGATCTCATTGTTTAGGTTCAGTCTGCCACCTATTTTTGTTTTCCTATCACTGTTTTAGTGTAATTCCATAACCTACTTTGAGGAATGTTTGAATACAAATAAAGATTTGTGGTAGCACAATGTTGCTTAAGACAGAACATAATTATGGCTCAAATATTTTATGTTGAAATCTTCATAATGACACTCATGCTATTGATAAAACTTAACTTGAAGCCAGAATTCTTCTACATACTTGAATAGTGAACATCTACTGAATTCTACCACACGAGGGCAGACTTGATCCATACTTTATCTAAAACACATATTAAAGTCTCCTTCAGCTCTTTAGGGCTGGGCCGTAAGGCAGCGTGATAAAACACATCACAGTTATGTCTAGTGTTTAAATAAGACATGTCTTCCTCTGCGTTCTTGGAAAAAGTGTCTGTGTTTTTCTTTAGGGTAAGACAACCGGATTTGATCACACGGTCGTTGCGTTCTCAAGAGGAATGAGTCTGAAAGCACTCAGTAAAAAAAAAAAACCAAAAGCCTAATATAGCAATCCAAATATCACAGATGTTGCAAACAATACCATAGCCAAACTAACACAACCTGTTGCTAAGAAGTCTCTTTTACATGATATTTGTTTTGATTCAAAATGGCATATAGCTTTTGACACAAATACACATTCGGTTTCCTGGTAGTGTGACTGATAACTGCAGTCCGTCCATACTTACCGCTGCCAGCTCGAGACATGCCACCAGGACCAGGAAGAGCTTCATCCTCATTACTCTGCAACTGCAAAGAAAGTGATCATTACCAGTCTGACTTGACACTTGAACATTACACCAGTTTTAGATACTCAAATTATGCAACTCATGAGTCATCGTTAGAAAATGCAGTATGACCAGAGGCCAGCATATAAAATGACCTGATAAAAGTACTGTTTTTTTGGACAAACAGACAGATAGTCACACCCCAAACTCACACTATAGGTCGAGCCAGTGTTACTATATCATACCGTGTCGGGATGCTCAAACAAATAGAGCTATAAGAGACAAAGTTACAGTGTAACAAGTGGTTTATTTGTAATTGTCTTAGCTTTTAAAGGGATAACTCAACCAAACATTAAAAGTGTCCTTATTTACTCACCCTCATGTTGGTCCAAACCTATATGACTTACTGACTTGCTTCTGCAGAGCACTAAAAAATACTTGGAGTACACTGGAGTCCCTTGACTTTAATTATATGTGCAAAAACAAGACATTTATCAAAATATCATCTTTTGTGCTCCACTGAGCACAAGAAAGTCTTTTTTCAAAAAAGATTGCATGGTTTTGTTTCCTGCTAAAAAAAAAAATCCTGTATAAAAAAATACTACTAATAAATAAATAAGCAGTACCAATATTAATTGCACACTGATATTAAAAATTATATTTATTATTACTATTGTTATTTTCTAATAATAGTAAATTACAATTATTATTTTTGACTATTAAATTCTTATAATATATAATATAATATAATAATATAATATATGCTTCCTGCTAATAAAATACTGTATAAAAAATACTACTAATAAATGAATAAATAAGCAGCACCAATATTGATATACAAAAATGTGTATATAATATAATATAATATAATATAATATAATAGTAGTATAGGGCTTAAAAAAAACTCTGATAATATTTTTATTGAAACAGTCGAATCGCATCACAAATCAGACTGAAATGTGTGCAGGAGTCATCTTTCTGAATCATGGACAGAATCAGCTCAGACGATTCACTTGCTCAACTAAAGTGCATAATATAATATCAACTCAAAATGAGTAAGAACTTTTACTTTTATGTTGAAAGCAATGCTAAATAGCAGAAAATGATAGGAGGAAATATTTTATCGTCAAAAACTGCACACTTCAGCTTTAAATGTAAGTTCTGGAGGCCATGGTGTTGGCCACTGATAAACTTGCGGCAAGCCGGACTTGAGTATCACTGATGAACATTGTCTGCTATCAGGATCCAGTAGCATGCTTTAACATCATCAAAGGCAAAACCCCAATCCCCAGAACATCCTCCAGGCGCTCCATGTTCCCTACTTATTTTTAGCTTGGAGTGTCATGACCCTCTGCTGTTTTTACAACAAAAAAAACTTTAGGAGAAGCTTGGAGATGATTGTCAGCGTGAGAACTGGACAAGGAAAAGCAGGGAGGATTGTTTTGTTAAAGTGGAAGCAAGAGAGAACCGTACCTCCTCCATTTCAAACGAGTCTCTGGGCTGGCTGAGTAGGTGGGCTATGTGTGGGTTAGGCAACAGGGTGGATGGTTCTTTATCTAGGGTGGAAGTGATGGTGTCCTGGCGCTCAAGTTCCTTGAAGTCACTCTTGTCGGACACCTGACTGATGCTCACCTGGACAGGGGAAAGTGGCACGTCTTTATCCAGAGCTGGAGTCTCAGTGGAGTGGTCACCATTCATTAACGTAGAGTCCTTGGGCAAAGGTTCTGGGACGTCTCCGTTGACTGAAGCCTCTGAGATACTTTGCTGGGCCTCTTCGGTCACTGTGGCCAGAGATGAATCTTTTTTCCTAAAGCCTTTCTGCTGTAGTTTGTGCTCGGTATCCATCAGTCCGGCCCGTACGGCAGAGTTTGCACCTTCCGTGTTGTCAGCGTCAGACGCTGAAAGCTGTTTGGCTGCTCCTTCCATGACAGAGGCCAGCAGGTTCTGTTTTGTAATGTTCCGTTTTAGGATCTTGGCTGCATTTAGAGCGGAATTATTCCTTTTTAATGGAGAGGGGGTTTTAGTCTCTGTGTCGCCGCTGCCGATTCTCTCCATGGGTCTTCCAGACACTTGGGAGTAGATCTCAGAGAAGACGTTTGCCACCGTGGCCAGAACTTCTGTTTGACGGAACCGACCTACAGAAAAAGAAGGAGAGCTTTAGAATAGACAATTTCCTGCCTGTTTCCAACTGCAACTTTTATTTACTCAAGAAAAAAAGAGAAAAATTAAAGAAATTAAAACAGAAACAATAGAAAACACTAGAGAAACGGTCAACTTTAAGCAGTGTTTCCTGCAATTGCTACGGCAATTAAAAAAAAAGTAATATTTAAAAAACTTAAAGTAATAAAAAATATTAATTGTACATTAATATACAAAAATTATAATAATAACAATAACCACAATTGTTTTTAGGCTATACAATTATTATATTATATTATATTATATTGTATCATATAATATTATATTGTATTATATAGTTGTTTTTGTTAATATTGTAATATAATATATTGTAAACATTATGTATTTTAGGGCTTTAAACAAAGAATAATATATTGTTAATATAATAATATTATAAAATATATAATTGTTGTTGTTAATATTGTATTTTTTTCATATTAATACTCAATAAATAATAGATTGCATATAATATACTATAATATACTGTAATATAATATACTATAATATAATACAATATAATATAAATATTCTGAATTGTATAGAGCTTCAACAAATAAATGAACGAACAAACGAATGAATGATAACTGACAAATAAAATAATTTCTGAAATGGATTAACTGCATTTCAAATTAGACTGCTCAAATTCATTTGCTCACCAAAACCGCAGGTAATCCTGTCAGATTCAAAATGAGTCGAGAACCGTTTCGGTTTAAGGTCTGGTCATATATACCGTTGCTCTACAAAATCTGGCAAACAAAATCGAGCCATTCCAATCAGAATCTGTGCGATCTGGAAAATTCTAAAATTTCAGGGCTTCCCGTTGCAAAAACAAGATCCTGTACAAAACCTCTGCAACTTTTGTGTGACTTGATGGTCTTGATCAACATCAAGCTCGTCATTTGTTCTGGCAGACATAAAGGAAAATGATTTGACAATACTGCAGGCATGTAATGGAATGATAACAAGTGATAACAAGCCAGTGATGTGTGCTGCTCAGGTATCAATAGTCTTCATTTATCTCCTGCAATGCAGCCAGGCTGTCTGAGTCAGCGTTCAGGAACGGCTTGCAGGACATATGCCAGAAAAAGAAAAGAGAGCGTGGCTTTCTGTGAGAGAGGGACAAGCATGTCCGATTCGAGATCATAGCCCCCACAGACGAGCATTTGTGGAGGAAGAAGCAAGACTTATGTAAGAAAAGTCAACAAGACATGGGAGAACAAATCCACAGAACACCTCACTGTAATGTGAATAAACATTCACATACACTTCTTGGTCGGAATGCCCGCCTAGTGGGTTGGTTTTGTCTTAAGTGAATATAAACAAGTGGCAGTAAAAAAAAAAAAAAGTCTAAAAACATCTGCAGTAGTAACCTAATAGACTTGTTGCAGTTAGTAATATTATTTGTTCGGTTACACTTTAATTTAAGGTGTCCTTATTACAGTGTAATTATACATTTAAGTACGGAGTAACATTAAAGGCAGAGTAAGTGATTTCTGGTAGCCAATGTTGATATTTGATACATGTACTTTACTATATGGTTAGGGTTAGGATTAGGGTTACTTGCATGCAATTGCATAATTTATTGTTATTATAATAGTAAGTACATGTAACGTGTAACAAGAACACCTTAAAGTAAAGTGTTACCATTTGTTCTACTGCTCGTAATTTGTTTCCTTGTTCATTATTTTATCATTTACTTAAATAATTGCTTTATTGTAATTACTTGTAATTTGTAACTTGTAATTACTAAATAATTAAATAAATAATTTCTTAAATAATTGCTGTAATAATTACTTTCTGTAAATAATTACTGTAATTACTAATATAATGTACTATGTAATAATTACTTGTATCAATAACATGAATATTTATTTAAATTAATTTACATGAGTGACAAATTGTTTGTTAATACATTTATTAATATTTTAAGGTAAAGTTAGCCATTTTATGAACAAAATAATAAACAGTGAATAACTACATTCAAAAAGCTATACACACATATACATATAAATGTATGTATTAGTTTATTCGATTTTATTTTTATATTTTCCGTTTTCACTTGATTTTTAGGTTTAGCAATTTTGTTGCGTTTTGTCATTTTATTATTTTTTTGTGTTCTTTGTCTATATAGTTATAGTTTATTAATTTTTATTCATTAGTTTTAGTTTTTCAATTAGTACCTGAAGTTAAACAAAATGAAAATAATAAATGTTACCTTGGACACTAGCTGGAATAAAAATAGTATAAGTTTTTTTTCTATTTTATTTCATTAGTTTTTTTTTCTTTGAAATTATGAAAAAAACTTTTTTTTTAAAGGGGTCATATGATGCGATTTCAATTTTTCCTTTCTCTTTGGAGTGTTACAAGCTCTTGGTGCATAAAGAAGATCTGTAAAGTTGCAAAGACTAAAGTCTCAAATCCAAAGAGATATTCTTTACAAAAGTTAAGAGTCAACCACGCCTACCTAAAACGGCTCGTTCTAACACACCCCACATGTCTACGTCACGATGTGAGAAGATTTGCATAACGCCGCCCAACAGATATGGTTTTATGTTTATGCGTCGCGATGCAACATGTAAAAAGACAGTATAAGTCATTATAATCAGTAATTATGTCCTCACTGGATGCAACAAATGCTTTGTTTATAATGGGTTTTAATGTTAACGCTCCGGCCGGGACAAGGCATCACAGTATGGTAAGAGGCGTAACATTTCCGTCACACGCTTGAGGTATTCGGCCAATCACAATGCACTGGATAGCTGGCCAATCAGAGCACACCTCGCTTTTCAGACCGATGAGCTTTGTAAAAATCGACGCGTTTCAGAAAGGCGGGGCATAGCGGAGAAACAATAATGTACAGTATGTGGAAAATAATGTGTTTTGAACCTTAAACCGCATAAACACATTTCATTACACCAAATACACAAAATAATGTTCTTTTTAGCAACATCATATGACCCCTTTAATGGTTTTAACTTCAGTTAACTATAATAACATACATATACATACATATAAATAAAAATACAAAGACAGACAGAGAGACTTTAAAATTAATGATATTAAAATTGAAATTTTGGCCTTATTACAGACTTCACACATCCCTACCCTCACCCAGGTTCTTCCTGTTCCGCTGCTTTGTCTTGGCTCAGTGAGAATTATGCAAATGTAGGCCAATACACAAGCTGGCACAGAGCTGGCACACAGGCCGAATCCTGATGTGAGCGGATGGCAGAATCAGCTCTGCTGTGCCACAGCCTGCTTGACACTTTCTCTCTCTGCTGCCGTCTGTCTCTCCCTCTCGTTTCTGTGCCCATGGAGGACAATGGCTTTGCTGTGCTCTACTTCTATTGAGCTGAGTCTGTACAGCACTCGTTGTTGATCAGCGAGTGTTGGAAGGCTCAGAGCTCAGCGTTTGCTTGAAGATATATAGTTATTGAAAAATGAGCACAAAGCTTTCTGCAATGTGATCTTAAAATCAAACACACTTCTCCTTTAGGCAGCACAACTTCCCTCAACTCTTGCCTGGCTGTCTTTGTCTTTCTTCTTTATGGTTAGATACATGCATCCAGTAGCGTAAGACTGTCTAGTGAGAAGTGCTGTTCTCCAAGATCGCTCCGACTCCACGTTAACAAGCAATAATGCAATTAAGGATGAAGTGTTATTAAAATTATGACTGATACCGATATGTAGATAAATATTTTCATGTAATGGCTGACAATAAAAATTCTACACTATTTTATCAAAATGTATTACAATTAAAACACTTATTTTAAATGCTACAAGTGAATTTGTATCATTATCTAACAATCTACAGTATAAAAACAGTGGTCTTACAATTTGAGATTCGCACTGTTAAATGTTTATTTAAATTAATTTATATTAGTGGGACATTCTGTTATAGTAGTATTTTAATATTTAAATTTAAAAGGTAAAGTGTCAAATTTTCTGCACCACAAGCAGCATTAAATTGAAGTGTAATCTGTTAAAGTACATAAAATAATAAAAATTTCACTACTACCTCAAAAAAGTATTTATTATTATAAAAATATTATTTAAAATTATAAAATAAATTATAGTTAGTTATTATTTTGAATTTGACTTTATATTTTTAGTTAAAGTCTGAGTAGTTTTGATGTTTTTGTAATTTTTTTTTTTTAATATCTATGAAGTTATTAATTTTAATTTATTAGTTTCATTTTACTAATATTTGGTACTATATAATACTATAATACTTCATGTTAGTTAAAACTTTTTAAATATTTAAATATTTATTAAACTATTAACATTTTTGAAGATTAACTTTAAGCTAACATGCACAATTAAATAATTGATGATAATAACAATAAAGAAAACATTTGTAATACCAGTAATTAATGGCAATGGAAAAAAAAAAATACTCGTCAAAAGTTATATATCATTCATCACTAAAATTGATTGCAAGTCAGAAATATGCATTTAAGGCAAGACACTGCAGGTGAATAGGGTAAAAAAATAATAGTTATCGCCTTACTTACCCAGCTGACTGATTACATTGATAATTGCAAAAAAATTTTTGTATTACAAGTTTTCTACAATGTTAGGTTTAAATATGCAAATGAGTCATTCTTTAATGAAATATGCGCTAATTTGCATACATTTATAGTACAAAAATCTAAACACTGGATGATGTCAGTTTCAAAATTCTTGTTTAATTTTTTTGACATATTAGAGTCAAAAGTTTTTACAGAGGGAATTTTGGGTCTCATTTTTGTCACTCCATAATTCAGAAAATGATTAGAATGGACAGTAAACACTATATTTTCACAATTGTTGGGGGAATAAAATGTTGTATATAATCAAGCAAATTATATATGAACAAATCAAACAACACTAATAGACTAGAAGCAAACAAAATACAATAAAGATTTGTGAAATATTACAGAGATTATGAAAAATGATTCAGAAATACGTAGTAGATCGGTAAATGTGCAAATTTTGCTTTCAAATATGAGCAGGGAGTGAGCGAGGAACGGGAAATGGAAAACCCGGAGTGGAGTTATTGGAGAATGTTTTGCATGTGGGCCAAAAAGGAAAGTAATTTCGAAAGGTAGACAAACGTATTAACTTATTTTGATAAAAGATTTCTATGACAAACATTTTTTATTTGGAATAACATGTACAATAAGACCGTGCATTAAGAAAGTAAACAGTCAATTTTGACTTTGTGTTGACTTAAAAGTTGTCCAGTTGCCTGGCTACAATGTTTTTACTTCTCACCATGGCTAGCGAAACGAAACTATGATTATTTCTCAAATAAAAAAGCGGGGGACAAACATAGAAATTACTAAATGCTGTAAACGCTACACCCCTTCTTGCAACATTTAATATTTCCTTTCATGCTTCCATGATTTTGAACGTGCACAGGCACGGTGGTGTAAACCACGGGGGCTGAAGTACAATCAGATGCCATGGATTGTGTTGACAGCACGGTCTACATACTTGTCAGGGCGTAGTTTGGGTTCTCCAGCTCCATGCGCTGAATCTGGGCTCCCAGGTAAACTTTGATGTCGATGCCCTTGGCGCTAGAAGAGGAGTTGAAGAAACGAGAAGGGATTTTTGAGGCGATGTCGGGCTCCTCACGCCCGAAGCCGAGGTTGTACAAGATCTCCTCTGGATCCTCCTCATAGAGGTCCAGAAGTTCTGACACGCTGCAGGGAAAACAACAACTATTAAAGACACACACCTTCATCTACATGCAAACAGACAATCGATGTTTGCCCAAGCAATTCTTTACAGATCTTCAAAAAACTTAACTATGTGACCTTTCACAGATTACATTTTAAATGTAAAAAAAAGAGAAAAAAAAAAAGAGTACTCAAAAGTCTGCTAATATTTATATTAATATTTTGATATTAATATCGATTGATATTAATTGAAAAGGTAAAGTGCGCACTTTTCTGCACCATTAACAGTATCAAAAAGAATTACAATCTGTGAACATAAAATAAAACGAAACCAAGTAATCAAGTTACAGATCAAGGCCGCAAAAAACACTTAAGCCACACTTAAAAATGTGTTAATTGCTTATTCAACAAAATATCAAACAAAATGATTTAAAGAAATATAGGCAAAAAATGTTATGTTTGAAATGATAAATCATAAATTAGAGCAAAAAGTGAAAAGAAAAAAAAAAGAAAATCAAAAATGGCTCAGAAATGTGAAGTTTTGAGAAGACCTAGCAATGTTTGTTTGCAGATGCCACTTGGTAATATATTATTTGCATTATTATTTTACAATATTTAATTATAATTGGTAGTATCCAGCTAACCGATATTGGCATCAGTTTTCATACAAATATCTAGAGTGTAGTATACAACCCTCTACATTGCGAGTAAATCACTCGCATATGCGACTAAATCTTCACTCTGGGCGACTAAATGATGTCTAATATTAGCCAATGGCTAATAAATTCTCAGATTTTACTCGCCAGTGGGTGAGTAGGAGGCTAAGTATAAGTTTAGCTCAGATATATTTTCACTCGCCGAACACTCTCTGACTGAGCGCATCAGTTTCACTCTCCGCCAAGCGATCTGTGATATGCGCACCTGTGTTTGTGTATTTGGCATAACGTAAACTCTAATGTGAAGGTTATTAAAGTTCTATCATTAAATAATACTTGATCATCATATTATAATGCTTGACTGACTGATGTTAAGAGTGTACTTTCAGATATTTAAATATTTTACAAACATTTATTATATATATATATACATATATATATATATACATATATATATATATATCAGTCTGGCGAGTGAACTAAAAAAATGTAATAGCCAATGGCAATTCAATTGCCAAGGTGTCCGTAGAGGGTTGGTATAGCAGCATAATTCTGATATAATAGTTTATACACATTAGCATTGGCTTATTTATTATGTTGATATCTGAATCTAGCTCAGTTATGTAGGAAATTGGTTGCCATGGACCATATGGGTGTAGAATATATATATATATATACAGTGGGTACGGAAAGTATTCAGACCCCCTTAAATATGGGTGTAGAATATATATATATATATATATATAATAATTATAAGTAATATTAATACATATAATACATTAATACATATAATTACCTTATATACTTAAATCGATTTACTTATATGGCTAAAATTATTATAAAATATATCAGATTCAGACTCCTTGCCCAATCACTGGTTCAGCTGTTGCTGTTTTACAAGTCTAGAGATTTTGCATGTGTTAATGACCATAGTACATCATTCTTGTAAAGTACCTGGACACGGTGGTGCTGCTCTTTCCAGAGCCTGTGGAGTTCATACTTCTGCCTTTCTGCTTGAACTGGCACCTTTTGGCCTCGGCTGCGATTTCATAGCTGAGGAAAGAAGACAGTGACCCACCTGTGACCAGACCAAAACAGAAAGAGATGGGAACATTTTGGAAGACCTACTTACCCATTGGCCGCTGGTTTTGTGCTGCTGTTCTGGAGGTGATTGGCTGTAGAGACGAGAGAGAAAGAGAAGCTTAACTGTGCTGGATTCCTACCTAATTTGATACCAAATTCCATTGAACCCACCTGTCAACCTTTGACACAACAAGTGCAATTACCAAAAGCCCTGGCTGCCATTTTAGCATAGTGGGAGTTGTCAGAAATTCCTTACGAAAGAGACTTATTCGACACTGTGACGATGTTAATTTCCAAAAGTGATTTATTCAGCGGAGAACCATCCACTCCGGATGACAATCCACATTGTGGAACGTTTTCCTCAGCACTTAGCAAACAATGACAGAATTATATGAGCACACATCCTAACCTGCCAAACGATTCGTGTTACAAATCACATTAGACACCAGGCTTTAGTTCGCTAAGGAGGACAGGATAGAACAGAGAGACGTAGAGGACATTAGCCAGAGCTTTTCTGGCCTGAAACGTCCTGGCTTACATGTACTCATCCATCAGCCTCAGGTAAAAATGCTTAACCTTAAATTTCCACAGAAATTCTCACAACTGGTACTGCCTGATTCCTGTGCTCTTGTCAATAAGAGCGGATAGTCATTCAGTGGAACTAGTCTGGACTCGTTTCTTCACATACAGACACACTGAAGGGTGAAATCTGCTCGACTACAATAACACAATAGCTGGTGGAGAGTCTGTGAAGAACGTTTTCACTTGACTTGTTTTTTTGTGTTGTTTAAACTAGACATTCTAGAACTGTAAAAATACACCCACACATATAATTTAATTTACCAAGAAAAAAAAAGACAGTATAGTAGAGGTCCAATTATACAAGCAAATACCACAAGCACTTTTAACAATAATAATATTTTTAAATGTTACTGATGCAAAGTTATAATTATTGTTTTAATTATTTGGTAACTTTATTTTTCTTTTAAGTTGCACAGACAGGGTCCAAAATTAACACTTGTCAAATATTAAATGTGAAAAAATGTCTCTGACAAGTAAAAAAAAAAAAAAAAAATACACAGTATTACCCAGGAAGCATAGCATCATAGAATGCAAGTTTATTTTTCCCTCTAGAAATGATATATATATATATATATATAAAATTTTTATTTTAATATATTTAAATACATAATATATTTATTTATTTGTTTTAAACCATTCTCTTTAAGTTTTTCCTTAGTGGACATCATGCACAATATTAATCTAACAAATTTATTTATTTTTAAACAAAAATTCTGCAAATACTTTTAGATAAATAAAAAAAAATGTAATGGGTGACAATAAATATTTATGACTGGAAAATTTTCCATTTTGGACCCTGATCATGCAACAAAAAAAGGTGTAAAACAAAAATCCACTCCCTAATCAAACATTGTGCATCAGCATAAAATAATTCCTGATTGCAAATAATTGTCAGCTAACAACAGACATCTGTTACATTTCTGACATTGAGACATTGTGGAATAAAAAGTGAGAAGTCACTTTTATTATTAAAGCGTTCCACACCCGCTAACACATGGGCCATTGGGTGCAAACCATGAAACCAGAGATAAGTTATCTGATGTGCCAAGACCAGTCTTTTAGCCTGAGTATTACATGCAAGTGTGTGCATGTCACCCTGTGTCCTTGTGCAAACTCAAAACAGCACATAATCCAAAGAGAAAGCAAAGACTCATCAGCACAAAAATCGACAAATGATATACTATGTTAACAACAAAACAAAACAATGCCAGCAGTCATTCTTGTTTGTCAGTCGGTTCATTAACCTCAAAAAAGCTATGTGGAATACTTGAAATTCTTTGTCAGATTCCTCACAAAGGAGCACACTTGAGAGCAATTACGTCCGATTGAGGGAGAACGTGGAGAGTACTTACCCTCAGCTCCCAGGGACAGGTCATCTTCAAAGCTCCAGCCATTCTTTAATGGTCCTAAAAAAAAAAGCAAAGAGAACAGCTTTCAGAGAGCAAACACTTTGCACTGACCCATCGTGCAGAACAAGTGATAATTTCCCATTCTCTTCCCCCATAAAAAAAACACTCCAACGCATCCAAGTAGCACTTCAAAGCCCCAATGTGGCTTTAGCTCGCACGCACTGAGAGGTTAACGGTAAATATTTACTCTTAAGTGCAATTGCCTTACCTAAGTAGTTATCCGAAATAATGCCAATGCAGTTTTGAATGACCTGATCCATAACACATTATCCTGCTCTTGGATTCTGTCCTGAGGAAACGTTTGTCTAATCAGGCACTTCTTTAACTGGAATGTGTGGGGGTCTGCTATTGGCCCCAAAGCAGTGTGCGTGCGTATGTGTGTGTGTGTGTGTGTGTGTGTGCCAGTGAATGTGCATGCGCTGTAGTGCATTGTGAGAGACCTTGCTCCAAAGTTCACAAGGAGTGGTAGAGAAAAGAGTCAGCAGGCAGTTGAGTAACTTTTTGCAGTACAACCTACTTCAGACTAACATAGAAAACTTCTGTAAATGCAGATAAACGCAGCAATTTCGTCTGAAGAAGATGATAGACTCACCTCTGGACGGACTGCCGCTTTGTTCGTCCAAAGAGGCCCCGAGAGGAGTCCTGTTGAAAAATCAATAACACGTCATATCCTTTTTCTGCTCGCCAAATCTCTCCCTAAAAAATGTCACTCGAGCAGAAACACACACACAAACCCCCTTCCCTCTCTTGAAGTGTTATTTTCCTTTAGCAAAGCGCTGACACAGATTCTCTTGGCATGAACTTGTCGTCTCGACACTTACAAAACGCTGCCTTCGAAGTCCCCTGCCACTTTCATCCAGACACCTGGAGATCCGAACGGCGTGAGAAAAAAAACACACCACGTAAAACGAGGCTAAGAATAGCTCGCGCTCGGCCGCGCGCTGGCCATGTTTCACAACACCAGCGGCAGCAGCACCACCGAAGTCTCTCTAGCTCCGGATATCCAGCAAACTCTCAGCAATAGAGACACTTACATTTCCTGTCAGGCTGTAGGAGGATGTCTGTCTCGTGTGTGTTTAATGATAATGAGCAGGAATTGGGAATAGGACGAGCACGAGGTATTTTTATTGACCTAGTGTGTGGCGTTGATGCTCAAACATGCTGCATCTGGGTTCAACGGGGGAATTTACACTAGGAGCATTTTATTAAATCAACTGTGAAGGAAGAGATCAGCCAAAAAATTTATTTTGGCATTATTTACTCATAATCCCATCTCAAACTGGTTTTTTTTTTTTTCATTAGAACAAAATGGTTTGAGTTTTTTTTTTTTTTAGTAAAAGTTATGTTTGTGTGTGTGTGTGTGTGTGTGTGTGTGTATGTATGTGTATATGTATATACATATTTTTGTTTACATAATATATGTGTGTGTACTGTGTATACATATTATGTATAAATAAATACACATGCATGTATACATTTATAAAAAACTTGTTATATTTATATATTACATATGTTTATATATAATATCAATTATTTGAATATAAATGTATACATGTAAATACATGTAAATATTTTCAAAATATATACTGTATGTGTGTGTATTTATATATGCAAAATAAATATACACAGTGCACCCACATATATTATGTAAACAAAAACTTTTATTTTGGAAGTGATAAATCGTTTGACAGCACTATAAATATATATATATATATATATATATATATATATA